GGTTAGCGTCGGCGGCGTATTCTATTACTTTAGATCCAACATGAAGATCGACAACCTTTTGAAGATGGATTTTTGACGTGTGTAGGAACCTTTCAAGGGTGGAGGGCTGTAGTGCTGGAAAATTGCATTGGCATGCAATCAAGAAACAGTCGAGGATCTCTTGATCAAGAGGCGCAAAGTGTGGTTCGTGTTGCGCCATGGTGCGCCACAAGATATCCGGCATCATCTTGTTCAGGCCCTGTGCCAGAGGGGTGCCATTCACCTGACCCCTATATTCGGGCCTCGCCGCTGAGAGTGATTGTCTCAGCCTGGAGACGATCTTCCCTTTGGTTTCTGAAGGACAGTACCAGGCGCCTCCCGGTTCTGAAAAGAGATGAAGTGCCGCGTTTGATTTTGCCAGGTTTGATGAGAATGTGAAGATGTCAGTTGCCACTTTATATGAGAGTAATTCAAAAACGCTCAGTGTCGGATCGGTCTTTTCCATGGCCAGAGCATATTCGAAGGCGTTATCGTAGTGAACATCAAGCCTGTCCAGCGTGAAGGGCCGCTCCGGGTTCGCCCCGAGACGTCGCAGGAGGGCCACCGAGAGCTCGTTATGTGCCGTTATTGCGTAATACAACGGCGTCGCACCACTTTCCACCACGACTTCATCAACATCCACGCCCATGCACTGCACGAGCTCTTTGATGATGGGCCCATTGCCGGAAAAGGCGGCGGATTGAAGTGCGGAAACCACTACCGCTGGAACCCATGACTTTGTCGGATCCAACCCCTCAAAGGCACTGGCGAAGACCTGGTTGAAGAGGGGATACTTTGGCGAAGTATGGCCCACGCTTACGATTCGAGACGAAGCGCCGCGGGAGAGCAGTAGGCGGGCGACGGAGACTTTTTGGTTGCAAATAGCAATGTGTAGGGGCGTCCAGGCCGGTACGGCTTGCCCCAAGTCACGACCGGGAATCCGAAAGGTGCCGGGGGGAATACACTGGCACAGAAACCTCGCCGGCATTTCCATATCGACAGAGTGTTGATCCAGAAGCCACCGGACGGTATCGTAGTGCCCACCCTTTGCGGCGAGGTGTAAGGGCGTCGCGAAGCATGCTTTCGACAGCGCGACCTTGATACCGTCATCGCTTAGAACCTCTCGGCGTTTCCACTCCTTCCGATATTCTAGTTTTACCCAGTCTTCGAGGCACTGAGGAGCTTCGAATGAATAGGCTTTATTCATGTCGGCGCCGTGGGACGCTATGCGCTGGAGAGTGGCCAGGTTCCCTGTCGCGGCGCTCCTGGTGATGATGTCGGTATTGCCGTCGCGTATCGCTGCGAGGTATACTTCTTCCTGAAGATTCACGTTGAGCTTGATGCTGACTTGCGCGAGCGCGGCGACGGTGCAGCTGTCTAGGTAGCTGCAGATTTTTAGCCAGATTTCGGCAGGAAATCCCGCGCGCGGTGTAATTGACGACATGGTGGTCGTAAGTATGGGGTGTATACTGTGATCGGTGGTGTGAGAGGACGATCAATTCGAGGGCTTTTCGTAAGCTGCCTTTCTGAGGATGATAAGAGGTCTTTCAAAAAGCTCAAAGACACGAAGATGAGGCGAAATCAAGGTAACTATATACTTCCGTGCAAATCATCAGGGTAACCACCAAGGAGAACCTGGAAGGAACGAGGAGATAGCTCAACCTTTCTCCTTCTCCATTGACTCTCCTTACAGACAATCTCAAGGATTCTGATGCAAAGAATATTGCGCAGCCGGAAAAGACCTCTGAAAATGGTTTCCCAAGGGACTCTCCGGGTCGTCGTTGAAGTTCGGCCCCGGCCTCCTTCCGGAAGACTGGCCCCACCGAACCGTTCTCGTCTTCCGGACTCCACTCCTACGGGCCGCTAAATCTACCACTGAAAGTACATTCTCCGTGTCTCATCAGGCTGGCGAATCATAAATTGCGCTTGAAAGTATTGCGTACAACTGGAACGAAGCTATAGGCGTATCATGGCAGGTTCTTCGCGTGAGAATGAAGACTAGCAACCTTTCTGGTGCGCGAGAGACAGCACGTTCTTTCGACCTATTCCAAACCCTGAGCTATTGCTGAGCGACTCACTGTTTGAATTGACGATCTTACATTCGCTGTAGGGAGAGAAGGAGGCGGCGATGCCTTCCAAGCTTTCGTACGCCGACCATGCCGGTCTTGTACGCCGTTCGTGACCCACCCGGCGAAAAATACCCACATCGCCGATGACCGGCGCCGCACCGCCGCGGCGGCCAATGCCTCCCATCCCCCCAAGCTTTCGTGTTTTATTCCCGAAATTTTTCGCGCCAGTGAACTCAATTGAACCCTGGCTCGAAAGAGATAAGAAAAACGCCCCCAAATTTCCCTCACCGATGAGATGAGTAAACGCGAAGGATCAAATATGCTATGAGCTACTGGGTAAGTTTGATTGCTGCAATCAACAAGATAATTCCTCGTCAGATAGCCATATTGGAACTTTGGAGGTACCTTAGGTACCTTAGGTGAGTGACGGCACAACGCTACATGGGGCATCCCTTCGGTCACGCCGCCGGACACTAGTCACGGACTGCGACCGACTCAAGGGATGAGCGGGCACCGGTGGAGAACAAGCCTTGATTGTCGCGAGAGAATCCAGGCCCGATCACGCAACGTTGACGAAGGGGTCTTTTCAAGCTTTCCCGGCGTCGGAGTCAAGTGCCGCCTTGCATACCGGATCTTCCGGATGAGCACAGCAGCTCACTTAGTCACTCTTGTCCTTTGACTACGACATATCTCTAGTCGCAACGCTACATTCGTATGTTAGCCTCTGGAAAACCCTGGGAATAACATGCGGATAAGAAACCATGCCCATCGCTCAAAGTTTCATGATGCAGGATAAACTCACAGGGTTCAACCCGTTTTTCCCGGATGTGCATGGCACCTGGCGGTAAGAGAGGTTTTCACCACCTACGGAGTAGTTCCACGCCGGTTCATTAGTGTTGGCCCAAAAAAAAAAAAAACCATCCGACGTCATGACAGGCGATCCCTCCATCCCAGGTTACAAGTAATCTATTCTACCACGAGAGACTTTTTTCTTCACACAAGCCGAGGAACAAATGGCTAATGGCTGCCAAAGTGAGACCACGTTCCCGCCGCTAGGGCCGCCGACGCAGGCATTCCGCGTTCATCGGTTGACGGGGCGGCCAACATACTTCAGCCGCCCGATGTCCGGAGAGCTGAAAAGGCTGACGTTCTGTCACCTTCCTTCCGTCCCATCTCATCTCATCTCATCTTATCTCGCTTTGCGGTTACATACGTCAGATAACACACTGCTATAAAGTCACCATTCATCTTTCAAATCGTAGACTACCATCTCACGCGATTGAACGAGGCCAGTAATTAAGAAAGCGCAGATTGATACGGGTACAGTGGCCGGATAGTTTGAGCTACATACACGTCTGCTGTGAAAGCAACCTCATAATGTCAACCACAAACGCCATCCTCACATCTTCACAACCAACAATGACACCGCCACATCTCCCACCCCCGCAAAGCTGTCATCCCTTCATGACACTCCCCCTCGAGCTCCGCCTCCTCATCTGGGAAACCTTCAGCTCGCAACCCCGCGTCTTCGAGTACAGAGAGGACACCCACCTCATCAAGCCGCCCCGGGAGTACCGCCACCCCCGTGCCGCCGCCCTCATCACAAACGCCGAATCGCGAAAGGCAACCCGCGCCCTCCTTCGGCCCTTCCCGCACCCGTACGACGTCCAAAAGGATTCCCGCCCGTCGCCGCCGCCTGCCCTGGAGTTCGTGCCCTCATCGGATATCATCTACCTACCACCGCTCGTCTACCGCACGCGGCTCGGCGCGTGGGATTCACTCTGGACCACGAAACCGGGTATCGAGAATGTTGGGATTCACTGGTCCGTTCTCCTCGACGAGCGGCGTATCGCGGAGGCGTTGCGGGCTTGTTCGCGGTGTTTCACCGATATGAGGAGGCTGTCCGTCTTTATCGAGTTCAAGCCGCTTCCGCAGCCGGAGGAGGAGGTTGGGAACGGCGGTATTGTGAGGTTATTGGGTCCTGCGGAGGATGAGTACCGCTTGCCGAGTTTATATGCCGAGGCGCATGGGTTGATGGATGAGTTTTGGACATGGGGGGAGTTGAGGACGGCGCTTGGGAAGGTTAGGAGGGCGATGAAGTGGACGCCTGAGATTGAGGGGGTGTTGTACACCAGGGAGATGGAGGAGGCGTCTGCTTTTTGAGATGGGATGGGGTTGGTATTTTGATGACTTTTGTCTCATCTGAGCTGGCCATTTCGATAAGGATGTCGGGCTGATGCGAGGCATGCCCTGACAGAGGATGTAATATTTTGAGCATTTATCAGGGTTCAAGTTCAGCATACGGCGTCATGATCGAGCGAGGGATTCACAGCATTTCAGCGGGCTTGGAGTATTTCATGACAGGTCTGATATGAACCTGCTAGCTATTATTGAATGAGATTTTGAGTCATTTTGAGCGTATTTGGAGACTTTCCCGTGTGTGCAATTTTGTGAAAAGTAGAAGATAACGATCATGTTGCTCTCTTTCACTCTAAATTACATCTCATTACATTTTCGAGGAATTCGACTTCCAGAGCCCTGTATACCTGGGTATCGTCTACAACTTATTCGTACATCTCACTTCTGCCTCGGCTCACGCCGTTGAAATAGGGTGCTCGTGGCCGCAACCTCCTTCAAGCTCAGATCCACGCCCGTAGAGCTCTGAGAGCCTCGAGGCCCGTATCCATGATCACCTTATTCTAAATAACCTCTTCTCCAACATCCCCCATACCCTTCCTTCAACCTCCCACTCATCCTAGTAATAGTCTCCATTTTCTCACCCCGAATCCGACAATGCGTCAAGCTCGCCATTCTCCAGTCCCTCGACTCTGGTGTCAAGCTCGAGCGTAGACTCAATCCATGCTTATCGTTGTGCTCCTCTGTATCCTCCACTTCAATCTCCTCCATGCCACTTTAAAGGGCCTCCTCTTCGGTCTCCTCTTCGGTTTCTTCATCCCACACTTCACTCTGCTCATAATCGACACAATTATCTTCGTCGATAAGACCGTGCTGCCTCAGCACCTCCTCAACCTTGGGCCTGTCAGACCAGTCATCAAACGCATCGCGAATCGCGAAAGCCCACTCTGGCGCGGTTTCCGGCCTCTCATGTAAGTCGCGGACACACAGCTCCCACGCCTTGTATACTCGAACAACTCCTCCGATATCATCCTCTCCGCACGGGATCCACGCTCCCTTTTGCACCAGAAGACGGACAAAAGGGCCGATTGAGCCCAACACAAAGGTCAGCGGCTCCGATTCTCGCGGATGGCCCACCGTGATCTTCTTCATCAGGTAGACAAAGGGGGTGAGAGACGGGTCCGGATCGGTGTCTCGCATGCCGATCGGGTTCGCGCCCTGGGTCATCAGCCAGTTTAAGGTCGTCAGGGCCCGCCCCTGATAGTCCCAGTCCATCACACCAATCGTAACACAGAGAGCGAGCATGCCGAGAGAAGAGCCCGATAAACGGTCCTGCTCTTTGTCGGGAGGCATAGTCAAGGGAAAAGTTGCGCTCCATAAGCCGTCCGGCTCCGCAAAGCTCCGTCTGATGAACTTCAAGAAGGGGCAATTCTGCTCCAAAGTCACTTTGTCTCCGAAATCCAATACGTCCATGAAAGAGCGAAGGATATCCATACAGTCGCGATCGACGCCACAGGAGACCTCGCAGACGAAGAGAAAGGTCGACTGAAGTTCTCCTACAAGCGGGGCATATTCCGGCCGATGCGTCCGTTGGGTCTCCCGGATGAAGTCCGCGACGACTTGAGCGTACGAGTCGAGAACCGAATTACAGTCGGGCTCGGTTGTATCAATTATCGCTGGCAACAACAGCTTTAGCCGTGATTCTTTGGGGCCGTTGTCTGCAAAAGCGGTCCAAAGGCTGTCTCCCACCGTCATAAGCTGCTTGGCGGCCTCGATATGACCCTGAGCGATGGCAAATTCGAGTGCCAGCGTCATGAATGAGTTTCCATGTTGGAAAAATATCTCCACATCGGCCCCGAGGCTGAGCAAATGTGACACAACGTCTCTCTCCGTGTGTACATTGCGCTCTGAGGGACGATACTCGCAGGCGTATTGAATCGGCGTGGCGTCTCTGTTGTCAGGACTGTCTACCGAGAGGCCCCGGTTCTTGACGAGATCGGTCATCACCTCCAAGTTCCCAGCACGAGCCGCATCGTGCAGGGCGTTATGTGGCCTCGAACTTTGCATGGCATCTGCTAACCAGAACTTCGCCTTTCTGGCGGGTGGTGGAAGATATGGGCATGTTTCCGCGTCCGCTTCCGAATCCCAGAAAGGGGACTTTCTCATGGCGTACCTACCCTGCAACTGAGTTGTCAGAGATGCTCCGGCGGAAAGCAGGAGGCGAGCAACGGAGCTGTGTCGCTGGCACAGGGCCACATGTAAGGATGTGCGGGCAGGGCGACAGATGGAGGGGAAGGAACGGGCCCTTGCCCTCTTCCCGATTGGCATACAACTGCATAGGCTTCTCCCGGGGCCATCGACATCGACGTTCTGATCTAGAAGCCACTTGACCATCTCATAGCGGCCTCCTGCGGCAGCCTGGTACAGCGGGGTGCCCCAGGTCGTCATCCTGTCCAGATTTCCGTCGCCCCTGGGACCCCCCCATGGTAGTGGTGCCATGGGATACGCCTTGGCAATATCCGCGCCGAAGAGATGAGCGCGTTTGAGAGTATCGAGATTTCCAGTCTTCAAGGCGTAAGTGACGCAATCCGACGCGTCGTCCGTATACTCTGGAGATACAGTCTGCGATTGAGTATGTCGTGGAATCTGTGGTTGACCCGTACCAGGCGTGCCCTATCGGACTGAGAGACGTAGCTGCTGACAAGCAGCCATAGCTCCGCTGGTAGCTCGTCAGTCGACATCATAAATCCTCTCAACGCGATGCGAATATGGATCTAGCGTCTAAGTCGATGGGGAGAGCTGCGATGAGACCGATGAGTACCCTATTTTTACCCATGTTCTGGGACCCTCTCCTGCACGAAATTGCAAGTGGGGTGTGGGCAAAGCCACACACCGCCACAGTGCGGTCATGGGCCGCGAGAACCGCTTTCCACTCGTATAGTCACAATGCAGGCATTCTGTAACAATTAGAGATTGATTGTCAGTTGGAGGGGTAAATCAGGTACTTATCGATATTTCTTTCTCATCTTGGCGAATGTACGTTTCTGGTGTGTATTGGTGACCGCGTTGGAGCTCGACAATCGACAGGGTGATCCACGGGCAATGATAGAGTAGCATCTGCTCGGATATGCCCCAAGGACTGGGGTAAGAAGGGCTTCCCTCCGTCACAGCCGGTGTCGATCCGGACGAGGTCGGGGGCGTGTTCCGGGACGAGCTCTATCTTGTGCCTGGTATCCGGTTCGGTGATGATATCCAACAAATTTAGCCCACGTTGAGGCGCCGAAGCCTTCGACTGTCATATTGGAAATGCATCGCAGCATGAGACTTGCTAAAACGATCAAGTCTCACCGATTCAAGTCTCCTTTCCTGCACATGCCAAGTGCCCCGTATGAATTGAGGTGGAGTCTCACTCTCGTTGGCACGATTCCTTTCGGTGACGGATGTCCGTATTTGGCACCTAAGAAGAAATGTGAGATGGGCGGGAATTACATCATGAGAGATCGTTGACATATGGGTTGTGAGAGGTTAATGATTCTTTATTTAATCTATGATGCATAAAGGCTTGAATAGCGAGTGGAGGGCCAAGTCCCCAGCAATACAGCCTGGCAGCATCAATCGCCGGCGATACTCCTCTCTCACAGGAAACCGAGGCTATCGGCGTCTCAAGGCCCCGCGGGACGTCTACCAAAGCTCACATGTAGGCTGTCTTTGGGGGCAGTTGAAAACGCTGCGGAAGTCCTTCGAGTTGTCCAAGGGCCCTTTGATACGAGCGAATCCTGGAGAGTGCACGTCGGCCCCAAGCAGGTAGACATCGTACACCTTCGAAGATGACACGTCGCACCAGTTTTGTGCCCATTTCAAGAAGAAAATCTGGTCATGCGAGAAACTCTGCAGGCCAGGCAAGTCGAAATCTTGAGACTTCTTGTCTGACTGTAGTTTCTTCCACGCCGCATAGCTTGTCGCCACACCTCCGGCATCTGCTATGTTTTCACCGAGCGTGAAGTTACCTCGAACGGGAACATTCGTACCATTAGGCGCAATGACCGTGAATTGCTGATACTGGTTGGCGAAGCATTTGGTACGATTACTGAACGCCTTGAGGCTCTGCTCATCCCACCAGTTTGTGAGAGACCCGTTGGCAGCGTAATTGTGCCCGCTGTTGTCGAAGCCATGGGTGAGCTCATGACCAAGAACGGTGCCAAGTGCGCCATAGTTAACATATGAGGGATAAGCAACATTATAGAGGGGTTTTTGCTGGATACCAGCATTGATGACAATGTCGTTGAAGGTTGTAGAGTAGTAAGCATTTGTTGTTGATGGGGTTTGCAGCCAAATGTTCTTATCAGCAGGCTTGCCAAGCAGAGCCCATAGCGACTTGCTAGAGAAAGTGGCAAACGCAAGGGCATTGTCGAAGTAGGAGTCGGTAACCTTGAGCCCATTATAATAATCTGCAAGCTTGCGTGGGTTTGTGGTGTCCGGAGACACGTCGGGATAACCAATCTTTTTCGAAATGGCATTGACCTTCACTTCGGCCTCTTTCTTGACTTCGGATGTTAACCAGTCCTTCTCGCCGAGGCGCGAGATAAAGGCCTGCTGGATCGTGCCCATCATGTTGATAGCCAGATCACGAGCTTCGTTCGAGTATGCCTTATCGAGGTAGAATCGGCTCAGAATCCAGCCGAGCCCGGCAGGCAAGCCACTCCATGGGACACCCTCATCCACATGACCGACGCATTGCTGCCATCTCGGCGGCTTGCCAACCAACTCCGGATCTGTAGCGCGAAGCTTTGATTTCAAGTCGTTCAACCTTTCCGTGACATCTGTCTCGACGAAGTTGGAGAAGGTGGATACTGTTTTCCAGATAAAAAATCCTTGGACCGTTTCGACAGAGGTGTTGGCGAGAAGCTGAGATAGGTTGCCAAAGTAGGCTGGGGAAAACACAAGTTGATCCGGCGTATAGTCCGCGGGAATCAAGTTGTTGATGACAAAATCATGACCAAGTTCTGGGGCCACGCTTGTGACCTCTTCCAACTTGAACTTCCTTGCTGGTGACTTTGGTGGCTATCAGTTCCTCGGTCAGACTTAAAGGTCAGGGTATCACTCACAGTTGGGCTTGCTTTGCTATCATCGGTGGCCTGCAAAGCGACCGCGTCCTTCTCAAACTTAGTGACGGCTAGAGCGAGTCTCTGAGCATTCATAACATCGAGTTTCGCCGGGTGGACTGCCTGAAGAAGTGCTGCCATAATGCGCTCATACTCCGCAACAGTATCATTATTTCTGGCTACAGAACCTGTGAGCAACGGCGTACCTCCGGGGACGACGGATATGAGTGTCTTATTCTGCTTAGAAATCAGTATGCATCCATAGTGGCGGGCTCCCAGGTCCCAGATCAACATACCGTATTCTGGTCATCAAAGTCAACAGTGACGGACTCGAAAGTAGAAATGCCGAGTTGACCAAAGAACAGTAGTGTCTTGCCCATGTTTTTGGCATCATTCTTCGAGATCTTACGTTCCTTGTCCTCTGTAGTATTGGCCACAGGAAAAGCCTCCGCGACACGGTTGACGAGATTGATGAGAGGACCCAAGCCTGCAGCCTTGACGGCGGTGTCATTGAGGCAAGCATTGTATGTCTCCACGATCAGCTGAAAGTTGTCCCGATCCACGCCTATTTGCTCTTGAGACAGTGATGCCGTGATAAATCCAGCGTCTGGTCCACTGGGGTAGGTGCCTTCCACGATGTTCTTCAGCACTATCGAGACATCACTCCCGACAATACCCAGCGATGAGGCCTTTCCTTGGCCAGCCCCAGGCGCATGGGTTGCTTTCCATCCAGAGCACGCATCTGCCAAGAAAGTGTATTAGCCAACCAGAGTCATGCAACGTGCAGAATCCGCAGCAGTGTCGAGTAGGAAAACAACGGAAAAAGATGTGAGACAAGGATCCGAAGCTTGGGCGCGGGGAAACTAGAGCTGGAGGCAATGCGAGTGGGGGAAACAAAAGGCAATTGGAGTCCTGCGACGCACATTTGTCAAAGTCTGTGCACGGATCGATGTCGGTATGGTTCGGCGCGAGACTCATGAGAATGTTTGAGGCGATCTCGAGACAGATCGGTGTGGTGCAAAGGCTGCTGCCATCCGCGGCCGCAGTGAAGGGGGCCATTCTATCGACTGTCGAGCAGTATTTCGAACGTCCTCACAGAGCTAGCATCACAAGTCAGCGACAAGACTCTTGGGCAGTTGAAGTACTTGATAGACAGACCTTGGGATGAAGAAGCGACCTGACTAGCCGGACAGGGAAGCTGAGACGCTTGATACTGGAACCAGAAGCGCCTTTCACCGACAAGCTGACACCCAAATTAAAGAGAGAGGAAAAAGCTAGCGAGGATCGGTTGGAGCCGGTTCATCCAGTGTGGGTTTGGGGATGGACTGATCCCTATATATAAGGGCTTGCAAGGAGAGAAGAATATACTTTTCCTGCAAACCCTTTTTGGTCTAGACGATGTCGGGCATCGAGAACCATAGAATACAGTATAAAGATGCCAAAAGCGGTGACTAGAGAGCGGCGGTGGTGTGGTGTCGTCGATGTCGCAGAAGAAGAAAGGCAGCGAGGCGTTGATCCAGTTTTCTTCACGCAGCCCGAGGGTAACCCCAATAGACCAAGTACCTGCCCTTTTCACCTGTCTCACGATCTTCACTGCCTCTGGCCAAGGCAGAGTCCAGCTACTTGGACCTTCCTAACCCATCCTTAGACGTGCCGGAACATCGCAGCCTGCAGGCGAGGCTGCCTTGTTTCCTGCCAAGACTGCCATTTGCCAAAGTCAAGCCAACCCCAGTTCGTTGACACATCGGAACTCTATGTGGTGACGAAGTCGACTCGGCGGATGTTCAGATGTGCATGCGGCGAAGGCAAGCATTGCGGAGAAAGGCAGCACAAAAGTGCCGCTCGCCAAGGATCGGGGACTTTCGCAGAGTAACCTCCGAAGTGACATTTCAGCCGCGGGATGCCGATCCTGACTCCCTGTTCCGTATCCCCCGCGTATCTTAGCTTAGCTTGCTCTCTCAAGTTGAGTGGCACGACGGCGATCATCTATGAGCGTTTTTGCACAAGTATCGCTCGCGGTTTGAGGCTGCCAAATGGACTGGCTCGACTGGTAGCTTGGCCTGCCCAGAACGGACAGCTGGAATATTGGGCTGATATGTGGCTGCGAGTGAGCTTCGCTCCTGACGACCCCAAGCTGGTTTCGTAATGCCATGCGGATGCACGTGTGTCCCAAAAGCCGACAAGTTGGTTAGCGCGGTGGTCAAAAGAACGGCGCGATTTGTTTCTGGAGGCTAGCTGGTACTCTATCAACTGCAATGAAGGACAGCATAACCACTGTTCACCTCCAATACCGGAATACAAGAGATGAAAGTCGGCGATCAGGCCACGCAAGTTTATACCCCGAACCGTAGGAAGAATACCACTTGGCAATCATGTTGGCAGCGCCAAGAGTCTTTG